TTTGTGCAGGTAGTAGTATGGATATAACAGTGTTTATAAGATGTTTCTTATTTCATTAATTTAAAAATTCATCTGCCGCTTTTTTGTTGTGGTGACACAGTCTCGTGTAACCGAAGTTGGCATCGAACTCATTATGTAGCCGAGGATGACCTTGAGATTCTGATCCAGCTGCTAACACTAAGTTCTGGGTCACAGCTGTATGCCAGGAAGATTGGTTCCTGTGCTACTGGAGATGAAACTTCATGGTTCGTGGACAAACACTCTACCAGCTGAGCTATATCCAGTACCAATTTTCATTCATTTTTTAAAGGATTTTATGTGTTCAACAGAAAATCAAAGTTCTTGCTATGACTACAAGTTGAAGTCCATGTTCTATTTCAGTTAGGAAATAAAGGCCCAAGACTTTCAGAGAGGAGAGTAAGGATGGAGATGGGTTATCCTGGGCTTGGAATGGCTATCACAGAGAACAGTATCCTGTGCTGGATACCTAAAGTGATGGTCATGAGCTATAATTTTGCTTTTAATAACAAGTCCTTTGAATAGCAGCGAGTAAACACTCATTGCATTATCTGTTGCTTCAAGGCAATAACAAATGATTTATACAGATAAATGATAAGCATAAAAAGTATGAATAGACAGCAGCCTTTATTGAGGACAGTATAGATAGTAAATGCAGAAGTGAGCACTACCTTTCGTAGTCACAACTGAAAACCAAATGGCCTAGGTCAGGGCTGACCAATGATGGTATGTGAACCAAATCCACCCTGCCTCCAGCTTATTCTCTTTTGTAATAATTTTATTGAAATAACTACTGTCATCAATGCACTTTCTTCTATAGTTGTTTTTATTAATTTTTTATTTAAATTAAAAACAATCTTATTTTACATACCAATCCCGGTTTCCTCTCCCTCCCATCCTCCCAATCCCCCCACCATCTCCCCATCCCACCTCCCATCCACTCCTCAGAAGAGTGTGAGGCCTCCCATGGGGGATCACCAAAGTCTGTCACATCATTTGTGGCAGGACTGAGGCCCTGCCCCTGTATCTAGACTGATAAAGTATTCCCTCTGTAGGGAATGACCTCCAAAAGGCCAGTTCATGCACTAGGGATAAATACTGGTTCCACTCTATAGTTGTTTTATATTGACATAGCAGAGTGGCAGATAGCAGTACTGAGTAGTTGTTACTGACATGACAGGGATGGTCAGACAAAACACTTATTATCGGGATTCGTATAGGAAAAGTTTCCTACCTTTTCTCTGTAGTCAACTCAAGAGTAGTGAGTCGGTGACATCTGTCTACTTAAAATTAACCAGTAGCTCCCTCAGATTGTTACAGTTAAAGGAAATGAAGTGAGGGGCTGGAAAGATGGCTCCATAGTTATTAGTGCTTGCTGCTCTTACAAGTGTAGTTCTCAGCACCCACATCTGGAGGATCACACCTGCCTGTAACTCCAGGGGTATAACATCTTTGCGCCTCCATCAGCACTCAAGAGCATGTGTATGCACATACGCATACCACACACACACACACACACACACACAAATAAGTATCTTTTTAAAAGAAGAAAATGAAAGCCAGTATTTTCCCATCATGATCTCACCACCATAGCAATCAGCTCCCAAAGCCCTTGCTGTTTCAAGAATACAGCAAGTCAGTGTTTTGTATAAGCTTTTGCTCTTACTGCTTGCCTTAGATAGAAAGTTCTTTTCTTCACCTCCTTCTGTTCTTGCACAGTGGCTATAAGATGGCTTCCCCCCTCTCTTCCTGGCATTATACTCATTATAATGTGCATCATTAATAGCACATTACATATTTCACTTCACTCTTTATTCTTTTATTCCTTCAGCATAAGATGAAACCCATAAAGAGCCTGTATTTTTGCTTCTTGTCATATCCTGATCATCTAGAATCCAGTTTGGCCCCCAAAGAATATAAAAGAGTTACTGGGGAGTATATTGCTTTTGTTCACTATGTATGAAACAGAAAAACATGAGCAAGAGGTGTTTGCTAATGTAAATGATAAAGATATACACACATGTATATATTCAAATAATTTTAAAATAGATGCCAGTAACAGACAAATGAAGGTAATGCATGCCAACCGATCCTCTTTCCTGGTCCTCCGGACATATACTTATACACTATTCATCCGTCTTACCTTATAGCTTCCTAGCAACAAAAAAAGATAGAATAGTGGGAGGGCATGATGGACTAATGGAAGTAATTAGCTCAGGCCATAATTCATTTTGAAGTGACTTGGGAAAATAGGTCACAGAAGATGAGAAGACACCAACTGTCGAGCCAGAATATAAGAGGGAGGAGGATATTCCAGAATTTAAGATGGCAAAGAGCACAGGCTTTCTGAGTTTGAACAGAAGATTGTTTTTCTAGTAGGAACCATGTAGGTCTTTGTTGCATAGATACGGGCCTTTGCTGCAGTTTTTCCTTTCTAGAAGTGCAGAGTTCTGCCCTTCCCTTCCCTCATCTTCATCTTCAAGTGTACCAGAAGCATCTTCATACCAAAGATGCCTTAGAACACAATTTGGAAAAAAATGAGAAAAATCGCCACAGTTTTTAAATATTTTTTATTTCAAAAATATTGTTTTAAAATGAAAGAATTCAGAAAAATCAGAATTAGAGAATCTGGAGCTGGAGAGATGACCCAGAGATTAAGAGCGCAGGCTATTCTTGCAGAGAACCCAAGTTCAATTTCCAATACCCACTTGGAGACGCACACCATTCATAACTCCTGTTCTAGAGCCTATGGCCCTTTCTTCTGGTCTCCATGGGCACCTGGCATACATTGAGACAACACACTCATACACAAAAAGTAAAATAAAAAGTAAATAATTAGAGAATGTGGCTTGATAAAAATCAAGACTTGCCTTATGATACACTACAAATGTGCTAGGCTCCTGTAATGATAAAGCAAGCATTCTTGGCTACACAATTGGCCTGTGTCTTTCCTATTTATGATTATTATTTTAAAGTCAGCCAAGGTAAATACAATGCAGACATGGGCAGCAGTAACCTGATGAAGATCAAGATAGCAGGGCTGCTGACAAAGCAGACACAGCCAGGCATGAGACTGAACTCGACTGAGAGGTCTGACGGGGAGGAGCATTCCCAGGACATGCTTCTCTCCTCAACTCCCCCTGGTCTATGTGGATACATGTTTTCTGGGGCAATGAAAGGTTTCTTTTGCTGTGGAATAATTCAGCTGCTGCTCTTCATTCAAGCTAACCTGAAAGCTAGGGGAGAATTCATTGTCATTTACTATCACCAATAAGGAAAAAGAGCATTTGGTAACTTATCAACATTGACCTATGTGAATCCTGAGATGGGAAATGTCTTGTAGCCCAAGGACACAGTCATACAAAGTTTAGGAGTATATTACTGCCTTAATCAAATAAATATGATGATAGATAGATGTTGGGTGGATGATGGATATTTAGTACATCTGTACTACATAGGAACAAAGAATTCTACTTTTATTTAAAAAGCCAAACTGAGCTAACTTTTTCTCCAGTCTTCCTACTGCCCATGTCAAGTGGCTCATACTACATAGTGCTCTAAATAACAGTATCGTTATACCGAAGACAATGCCTTCACCTTGGGTTCTGACCATCAACAGGGTGTTTGGAAGTTACTTGGGAGCTATAACTGTCTTCAGTTTGAGATGTCACATGACATTTTTGGCATGTTTTATTTCCAACAATGTTACTGATTTTGTCAGAAACTTCTAGAGGACAGTGACTGTATGCTTCTTACCTTCCTGTACAGTCCCTGTTCAGCACCCAGTTAGGCAAACCACATGAAATGGCCAATGAGCAACTGAGACGGTCTTCCAAACTGGTTACACTGTGAAACTGGAGAGTAACTTCAGATGTGTCATAATGTAGATCTTTATAGTAGATGAATTCTTGGCACTATAATGCTATTCATGTCATTGTCCTTATTTTAGTCCAAGCTTAACTGGCTTCTCTGCTGTGGGCCCCAGAGAAGGTAGAACATTATGGAAGTTGGTTTGCAGTGGAGGAAGCTGGCTACATTGTAGTGAATGAGAGTCAGAGAAAGAGGATGGGGACAAGGCAGACCCTGGAAAGGCACACCTTAGTGACCCACTTCCTTATTTGGGTGATACCCAAGCTAGCATTCAGTATGAATGCATGAAGGTGTTAATCGGTGGATGATGTCTAAGTCTATAACATCTAGTCACTTCATAGTAGCACCAGCAACTGGAGACCAGGCCTCAGACACAAAGGGGCTTGCCTTGCAAGCCTCACACTCTGATCTGAGTTTGATCCCCAGAACCAGAACGTACAAGATGGTCTAAGGAAAGAACCAGTTCGGCAGAGTTGTGCTCTCAATGCACATGCATATTATAGCATTAATAGATACCCACCACCCACAGACACACACAACATGCACTCATATCCACAACACCTACAACAATTTCATTTGAACAAATACCCCCCCAAGACATGCACAATATGCACTCATACCCACAGCAACAGCAACTTCAATAGTTGATATAACCATTAAAAATTGGTCATGAAGATTTGAAACCACAGAGAGTTTTCTATGGACTGGTGATGGGATCACAATTGATTTGTTTCTTTATATCTGACTCAAAGCTACAATATAGGTAATCGACAATTAAGAATCAAGGAAAATTACATGTTATGAATTAGCAGCTTAGACAGGGCACTTCTAGAAATACACAGGAAGCATCACTTGGGAACAAAATGTATAAGACAAAATTTGTCATTTAAGTTACAAGCAGATAAGATAATTTCCACCTGATAGGGTTTCCCACAAGTGATTTCTGAGGCTCATGAAAACCATTTGGCCACAAGTTCTTTTAGAGAGTGGCTATGTTCTCAACATTTCTTTCTCATTTTACATTACAAGGAAGCTAAACGATGCCATGACAGTGCCAGAGGGCCTACTGGGAATGCTGGCCTCCATACAAAGTACACAGCTCTCCAACTCACCTGGTCAACTCTAAGAGCTCATGATTAGTGCTTCTTAAAGACTTTGTTGGTCGTCAGCTAGGATGGTTTTCTCTATGTCTTTCTTCTTGTACTTCTGTATGCCTTTTCTTCCAAAGATCTGAGTGACTTGTATAGAAAAAAAAGTCATTTTTTCACCTAAAACTAAAGTAGAAAGGTAAACACCATTGATCTCATTTTGAAAATAGACAAATAGTACTAAAAGTTAAACAACCAGGCTGTGTCAATGGGAGAGGACCAAGAATCTTGTCCTCTGACCACCTAGGTGACTTTATCACCTCATGGCATTTTAATGGCATTAACAGTAGGACACAGCACAGTCAAGTGACACAAACACATTACATACCTCTCTACAGTTACAGCAAGCAGCACAGAGGCAGCCTGTACCTGTGAACTGTCCCTGATAAGGTATTTCATGAGGTCTGTCAACACAGAGAAGAATAAACTTGCAAGAGATGAAAACAAAGGGGAGAGTTTCAGGTGGAATTTGAGTAAGGGAAGCACAAATAATCAAAAACCACCTCATGAGTTTTAGTATTTACTGCATGTTTGCCCTTCTAAGGATTCTGAGCATTTCTAAAATTTGCAAGAGAAAACAACAAAACCCAAATATATGCTGGGTTTTTCCTCTGAGGGATAAAGTTTATTGTAAACAGGGGTATGGAGGAAGGAAGAAGTAGGAGACTGAGAAGTGCCTATGATGCACTCACACTAGAGACAGCATGAGGTCCCTTTCAGAATGATCTCAGCACTGGTACTGTCTCTCCTGGAGAAACAAGTGCCTCTGGAGGGGGTGGCCCTTCCTGCCAGGTTGGGAGGAGAAAGCCAAGCCTGGGAACTCCCCAGGAACAGTGTGCTTTGGTTATACTTCCTACCAGCAAGCAGACAGGAAGCATCGCTGACAAAGAGGCAGGCAGCAGAGGCCAAGGCTAAAGCAGACAGTGCTTCTGAGGCTCTGACTTTGAAAGGACGGAAACTATGTGTGAATTACTTTACTATTCAACAGAAAGCTTCAGGTGGCTTTACATTAAAAGGATATTGTCAGCCACATCCCTGGGCTCTCTGCTCCCCACCCACCTTCTCCAATCCTGCTCTTCTTTTCTGTTTAAATTTTACAAGCCCTGGGACAAGCAACGGAAATTCCCTAAATATAAATTAAGCATTGTGTACCCTCAAGATATTCTTGCTGGCACTCAAACAGTAGTTTGGTATTGAAGTCTGTCAGATGGTTCTTAAGGACTAAGTTCACATGTGTGTGCAGTATGCGAACACACCCTGCCCTTATTCATTTGCTTCTTAGTCCGTGTACAGGCTCTCCACCAAGTCTACATCATAAACGTCTACATCCCTGTTTTGTGCCCAGGGCCTCCAGCCTTCCAATCTTCACCTCTACACAGATAGAAATGATCACAGTCTCAGGACAGGCTGGATAATAAGTGGCAGATGAACCTTAGGACAGAATAACTGAGCTCACTTCCTGCTTATCTGACTGAATGAATCTGGGCCAGGAGGTCTTTCCATGATGGTCAGTCCACAGCAGACTGTTCACTAACTGGACCACCCACCATTTGTGGTGGTAAGAGCTAGAGACTGGCTGTTTTGCTTCTCTGATCTTCAGCTTGAAGCTCAGTATCTGGGGTTTTACTACTTGTGCTACTACCATGAGTGTTCCAACCAATGTAGGAAAAGAAGGAAGGGAATAGACGGGCTATTTCAACTGTGTCAACTGGGAAGTTCATGACCTCCATGAACATCACACCAGCTGAGGCCACTCACAGCCATATTTGACCTCAAAAGAAAAAGTGCAACTCTATTAAGCAACTCCAGCAAGGGCTATCAACAGGGCTATGAACATCCTCAAGGGTCCCCGGAATATACAGTGGCTTGAAGGAAGTCCAAACCTGCAAGGGTGCATGAAGATGCCCTGGGCTTGTTTCCTAAGGGTCTCACGCTGTCACCCAGCCTGGCCTAGAACTCACTAGGCAGCCCTGGCTCACATCCAACTTATTGCGATCCTCCTCAGCTTCCTAAAAGTTAGAATTATGGGTGTGAGTCACCAAACCTAACCATAGCCCTGTATTAATCTATTTACTCATTGCTATGACAGAACACATAAAAACAACAGCTTAATAGAAAGATGGGTTATTTAAATTCTTGGTTTGGGGACACATTCCATGGTGGCAGGGATGGTGGCAGGAGCTTGAGGCACCGGGTCACACTACAACCATAGTCAGGAAGCAGAGAGAGAGGAATGTTGGTGCCCAGCTCATTTTCTCTTTTTATTCAGCCTGTGGGATGGTGTAGCCACTTCCAGGTGGATTTTCCATTCTTTATTAAATGTTTAGGATGGAGCCTCAAACTCATATTCTTACATTGTTTTCCATGGTGATTCTAAATTTCAAGTTGACAGCCGAGGTTACCCAGTAGAGATCCTGCCTTACACACACACACACAAACACACACACACACACACACACACACACACACACACACACACACACCACCTCTCTGCTGTAGAGACTTACAATCTGCCCAATGGTTGTCTTCACTAATTAACCCTCGGAGATAACTGGGCAGGTACGGGAAATCTCACTCCACTATCTAAAAGAATGATAACAGTCAAGGGTAATGATACAGAGCTGCAGTTCCAACTGTGGTGGGCTGGGGCTGAGGCAGGAGGATTATGACTTGGAAGTTAGCCTGATTATATAGCATGACCCTACCTCAAAAAGAAGAAAAAGGAGGAAGAAGAGAAATAATAATGACTGAGCAATATCACCTATGTTCTCTGGACATGTCTCTTGTTTTCTACAACGTGACAAAGGGTGTTCAGTCTCCACTAAACTTATTAGAAGACAAATGTCATTCCTTGCCACTTAAAAGGGACCAAGAGGATTTTCAGCAATTGCCTATCCCTCATAGGGAATGGAAATTTTCTCCCAGTAAGCACTCAGGGTACATAGTATCATTTTAATATGAATAAACTTCTCTCCACCTAGTACATGCGGATTAGGAAAAGGATGTCTTTGTAAATCTCAGAAAAACATGTTATCTTAGAGAGAAGCTGAGGGTCAGATGGGAGAGAAGGGAGAAGAGGAGCCTATTTTCTTTAGCTCAGAACTACTTTTCTTAGCATTCCTTCCCTGGTCATTAACCCTGCCCTACACCCTGAACTTATAAATGGAGAGGAGTGAAGGGAATTTATTGGAAGGAGACTTGGGAGGCTTTTAGTAATGTTAGATATGGCTTACTGTTTACTAGATACACAGAGAGACTTAAATAAAAAATTCATGCCAACAGTATTTGTGGAGGAGACCAGCTGTTCTTATTTATTCCAACAGACAGGACTGAGTGCTATTATCCAAGCTCACTGAGCTACTCTGGCAGCAACTGCACTGGCTAGAATCATTTTAGATCCCAGAGAAGAGTGCTAAAGAGAGTTTATTCTAAGAAACCTAAATTCTATCCAACAGTTGTCAAACTTGACCAAACTACATATATATCACCATAATGGAGATGCAGTTCCTAAGATGTTTTATCCTTCTCTTCGTGCCTGAGTCTCTGCCCTCAATGGCTGCCTCCACCCCAAGGTTTAGGGTAGAGAAGTGTGATACTGGCCTAGCAGTGTTCAGGCACTGATACTCAGATGAGCTCAGAGGCTCCTAGAAAGCCTTCGCCTATAGTCATTTCATGTGGAAGGCTTTGATAACTGTTTCATTCATATTTTCTAATAAATACTGAAGAGAGACCATTTAATTATAAGGAAGCAGTGCTCAGGAAAACTAGCATTTACTTATAGAAAGGGATTAGTGCATGAGTAGAAGCTACAGAGATAACTAATGTTAATGAGCGTTTTCTAAGCATTGGGTTCTGAGCCAGCGGATCAAGCATCTCATTTAAACCTACAAACCATAATAATGAGTGAGTTCAGAGTTTTCCTTCCAAAGAGTTACAGTATGGAAAACAGGAACAGGGACTTCACAATAGAAAACCTGACCATAGGACTTCAACCAGGTGATGATGGCCAACATCAAGATGAATCATGTCAAGTAACAGTTTATGCGCAGCAGGAAATATATAAAATGATGCTTCTAATATGAACTCAGAGACTGAGACATCACACACACAAGACCTACATGAGATCAAGTCAGACAAAATCTTGGCACAGAGGAAAGGAAATGGGTACAAAGTCCTACCCCTAGCCAAAAAGTGATTTTCTTCAATGGAATGACAACAGATATATTGGCCACACTTTAGGGAAGGCCCCATGCTCAGGGGTAGTAGTAAACACAAAACAGACTCCATGTTTTTGCTTGTTTCTAAGAGAGTACATGAATTGGGTGGGTTGGGTTATGGGGAGGTCTGGGAAAAATTGGGGGAGGAGAAAGAATAAGATTGAAGTATATTGTATAAAACTGTCAAAGAATAAACAAAAATATTATTTAAAACAAAAAGAAAAAAAAAGCTGTCTCTGTACTCATCCTTGGGAAAATTTGTAGCCCAGTCTAACCATGAGAAGAGCATCAGACAAACACACACTAGGAATGTTCTGTGAAATACCTGCTGCTGAGGTCTCCTCAAAACCATCAAGTTCATCTCAAACAAGGCAGAGAGAAATCTTCAAGGGACAGCCTGAGTTGATAGCAACTGCCATGTGCTACTTGGAAGCAGGTCCTGAAAACTGAAAAAAGACACCACGGATAAAGTAGGGAGATCAGAATAAAGTATTGAGTTGGCTAACAGGAACATATCACTGTAGGTTCCTGAGTTTGACAAGCATAAATGTGAAGGGAAGACTGATGAATAGTATATAGGTACCACCTCCTACTATAAAAATTAATCGACAAACCCCTCTGAGGTTGATTTTTCTATCCATATTCTATAGGTGAAAAAATAAGGTTCAATAACTTCTTAAAGCAATAAGTCAGATGCAGAACTTTGTTCACATTATAGAATCATGTGACAAGCTATGAGATAATTCCTTGCTAAGATTTTTTTATTTTGTTTTAATAAACACTCTATGTCAGATGCACAAAGCTGAAGAAATTGACTTATTTTACTCCTCATAATGACAGATATTTTGGGGATGCTTTTAAGTGCAGAGCTGTAACATTACCTTCTAAATATTTTATTCTTATTTCCATTACAAATTTCAATACCTAAGGATGGCTAACCCCCCCCAAAGCAACATAGCACAAGCTGAAAAGGATGTGGGGGTCAGGGGAGGAATCCCTTATTCTCTGTGGATGAGCATGGAAATTAGTCAGACTACAATAGAAATCAATATGGAGGACTACACAGTGACACAGCAATACACCTTCTTGGCATATAACCAAAGGCCTCTACATGAACACACCACAGAGACACATAGAATGCACTCAAATGTTTATCGAAACTAATCATTAGAACCAAGTTACTGGGGCAACCTAGATTCTGTCACCAGATGAATGGATAAAGAAAACCTTTCTATACACTGTGTAACAGAAGAATGGGTTACAGGTTAGCAGCCCTTCAGGAGGCAATGACCACACCAACATAAGGGAAGTTAGAAGCCGGTCCTCTGGAGGTCCTGAGATGTCTAAGACCAGCTGTGGCTGCTGTAGAAACCTGGCATGCCAAGAGCCCTCTAAGTATACATTCTTATAGAGCTGTCTACTGAGCCAGTTTCCCACCGTGGGAAGTAGCCTCTCTGGGAAAACTCCAGCCTCCTCCCCGGAAGGCTCAAGTCATCCAAGATATATTCTGTGTTTCCTTGGCACTTGCCAAAATCAGACAGTAGGATTCAACAAATCGTTCTAAATACTGCACTTAATACATTGTTCCCCGTGAGACCATAGGGTGGAAGTGGTCCAGCAAGTTAGAAAGCAGGTTGCTTCTGTGTGTGATTAGATTAGGCCGCCTGAAGACACACGGCTCTACTCACAAGCTTTCCTTTTCGGATTTGAAGGACAAGTGCTTTCTTGAATTGGTGATTTTACCACTCCTGTCACATCTCAAGAACAGCAGAGTCTTTCCTCCCTGTTTACATCTCACATTGTTCCAAGGCAATTACTTAATGGCACCATATCTGTGTTCACAGGAGAGGGGATAGGAAAAGGCCAAAGTGACAACCAATGTTCCCATGAAATCACAGCAGAGCCGCAGGAGTGGGAGATCGGCCCACTCTCCTGATTCACTAAACGATGGAAAGAGAACTCAATCCAGAATCTAGTTTCCGCTGCCCTTCGCCAGTGAGAAAGAGAAGCCAAGTTCCAGCAGCTGTAGTCAACACACACACACACACACACACACACACACACACACACACACACACACACACACGGAGGGGGGTGGGGAAGAGACGGACTTGGCAAACTTGGACTGACCCAGAGCAAATGCTTCTTTTCAAGAATTTTTGCTATTTTTGTAACTGAACTCAAGAAAAAAGAATCTTCATTTTGGAGCTCTGTGTGACCCGGGCTGGAATTTCAAACTTTCCATCTCAGACAGCACATTAGGCTGTCATGTTAAAAATTCATTAAGAAGGTTCATTTCCAAGATCATGTAGGGGCACAGAGCCTGGATATCAGAAGTGTGTCCTTCAGGTAGCAGCATGAGAAGTCAGAGAAGCACACATTGCTACACAAGCATCCCCACATCAGCATGAATCCTCCCTGCCCTACTGAGACACAGCCAGAGCCCCAGGATCCTACTGATGTCCAGCCTCATCCTTGCAGATGGGTGGACACTGTGCTCATCACACTAATCTCCAGCCTCCAGTTCTTGCAGGGACTACGTGAAGAGCACCTGCTGAACATTAAATTGACACTGAGTTTCAAAACCCAAAGCCCACAACATAAGGCAAGGTCAGCTTTTCAAAGCTCTTGCAGATCAGCATTTAAGTCTTCTTTAAAGTTTTCATAAACAGTGTCAGGTCTACCCAATGGTTTCCATATTTGCTGTCAGCTTTCCAGACAACTGGGGTTGTCAACTACCAACACCAATAGGTAAATTTTAACCGTGTGAGACAGGGTAGAGTGGATAAAACCGTCCCGAGGAAAGATAAAATAAAATGGTAGTGTTAAACCTTCCTTTTTAAAGGAAGAACACATTTGATGGGGCCCTTGGTAACACCCAACATCAACAGACACACAAATATCTGCTGAATTTGTCAACCAGTCGCCAACGACATCTTCTCTTAAGCAATTATGTCAAAAAACAAAAAGAAGAAGAAAGGGAGGGGCAGTGCTTTCTCAAGTGTTGGTGAATATTCATTCATCCAGGTAACACTCAAGGAATATACTAATAGTGAACTACTCCCACGTTGGTACTTTTCTGTATTTGGTGCACAGGTACTGAATGATTGTACTGACATCATTAGAAACATGTAGGGAAAAGAAAGACAGATCACCTTGCAATAACAACTTTCAACTTTCACAGTCTCCCAAGTGCCTGCGCAAGCTCGTACCACACAGGATGTACTGCATTCAGGAAAATACAACATGGCTGACAAGACTGTTCAGTGGGCACTCGCAACCAAAATTGACAACCAATCCCTACAAGTTGTCCTCTGATCTCCAAATAAATAGTCCAAGTATGTATATATACACATACACACAAAATAAATGAATGGAAGAAAAAAAGAGAATTATATAAAGTCTGTATCATGTTAATGCTGCAGTTGGTGTTTCATTGTACATTGCCGCTAAAACATATATGATCATCCTGGCACTTCTTAGACATTAAACAACATCAACAAAAAGCATCAGAAATAGATAACTTGCTGATAAGCCAATTTTGCAGTTAAATCTCTTGCATGTGGTACCACAGTTTTGGAGTGAATATGCTTTGAAGATGAGTGGCAGGGATTATGTGGAAACATAAACTAGAGCTTTTGATTTTATGCAATCAAAATTATCACCAGGTAGTATATATTTCCCCCTAACAGTGTTTTCTCCTACAGGAATAATGACCCTGAATTTGTTCTTCATTCCATAACTTAGCCAGTTTGATAGTTTAAAGGCTGACTGTGGGCATATATTAATATAGATCACATGTGTAATAGTAATATTAATATTAATGTAGATCACATGTGTAATATTGTGAAGCAGTCGCTTAAAACAGGTACTGTGACCAGTAGCACACTCAGTAGCTTTGGGAACTAACAACTTTGCAAAAGGCACAGTATGCATTGATGTTGACATTACAACTTTTATTTTTCATTAGGATGACACAAAACTTAAACAGAAATTTCCAGAAACCAGTGTATAGCAGGATGCTGTCACCTAGATTGGACCAGGCCACTGTCATTTGGATTAGATCAGTCCACTGTCACCTGGATGAGACCAGGCCACTGTCACCTGGATGAGACCAGGCCTCTGTCATTTGGATCAAGCCACATCACTGTCATCTGGATCAGACTAGGCCACTGTCACCTGGATGAGACCAGGCCTCTGTCACCTGGATCAGACCAGGCCACTATCAGATGTCACCTGGATTACACATGTGTTTGTTTCATCCTTACTGAAGGCCCTTACTGAAGTGTCATTGTTTTAGATATTCATATTCTCTTATTGCATAGCCTGTAGAAGTTTGTCTTTAAACCGGGTTTGTGGTTACATGTGTGCATGCATACACCAGTGTGTTTGTCACATATAATCTACATTTAGGCATATATGCATATGCACATATATGAATATGCTTATATGGGTATTTATGTATAATATATATTGAAACATTTAGTACACAATGATCCTTGGGTATGCATGCATAGTTTTCGGATTTGTTTCTTTTTGTTTTGTCATATTGAGGAACGAATCGAAAGTTTCAGGCAAATTTGGCAAGTGCTATCAAACAAAACTCCTAGCCCCCCCACCCCCTTTTTTCTTTCATTTTGAGCCAGGGTCTCAGACAGTTACTTAGGCTGCTCTCAAACTTGTGGCCCTGCTGCCTCAGGCTCCCAAGTATAAATACAGATATTTTTAAGCCTTGTATTTCCCCCATTTGTCCCAGTAAACCAGCTACTGTACTTTCTTATTTATAGTTTTAAAGGGGCCATTCCAAAAGGCACTCTCACAGCAGGTACCACAAAAGAAAAATAAAATAGTATTTCTGTCCAAATTCTGCTTCGTAAACCTAAATGAAAGCTGAAACGGCAAAGGGGGCTATTTCCAGGGCATGGGACCCATTCCCTGCTGTGTCCCAGAAGAACGGTAGGCTCAGTGGGTCTCTGCAGGGTGCAGCGGCCACAGCCCACACACCATCGTCTCTGTAACTGCCATTTGTGGGCACAGTGCTGGGGCATGCCTCGATCCTGTGTGCCCGCCTCACTCACACACCTGCTTCAACGGTGGGAGTTGAGCCTGTGGGTTTCCCTTGATTGATGTTGGTATAACTGCTTTGCACTCTGCGGGTGAGGGGAAGTTTGTGGTGCCTCACACTTCTCTTGGAGAAGAATAAGAGAGAGAAGTGCGTGCAGCCTGCTGGCCCTCCCCACTCTTGCTAAAGGCCTGAGGAACACTGGCCCTTAAAATAAAACCAAACAAATAGGCTTTGAAAACCAGGAAACAAGAAGCCAGCAAAGGAAGCATCTGTCGCTTTCACTCTGAAACAAATCCACGAGACACATATGTGTACGCAAACAAACACACATGTATACACACTACTACCACCAGCGAGTAGGCTGTTGAATTCACTATTTCC